TAAAAAGCAGCTTATTGTATTTGTCTGCTCATTTATAGAAAATCAGTATCAACCAAAAATACAGAACAAGACTGTTTAAAAAAAAAAAAAGGCTAGTGAATAAAGTAGTGAGTAAAACATTTGTGAAAGGCTTGGAATGAGAGGGTAGAAATTACTGAATTCAAGGACTTTCTGCTTGGCAAGTGCCCTTAGATTCTTTTTCTGTTTTAAAATAACCAAAACTGAAAATTACAGTCTGTTGTGGGTGTGCTTGAGGCAGGGAAGATAATGGATATTTCAATTAATGGGTCCATCCTCAAAGTATATTGGTAAACTGTGTTTATGTGTTTTCATTTCAAATGCATTGTTTTCAGTTAACAACTCACTTTAGTCCCACTCACATTGGATAAAACTCTATGGTAAATGTTACAGAACTGAGACTAGTATTCGGGGAAAAATCATCAGATGTTTATTGTACTTCAGAAATAAACTAAGTATTCTGAATTATATTTCATAGACTTATTTACTTGTTGGAGGTTATGTTTTATTTATCTTTAAATAAATCCAGATTACTATTTTTCACTAGACGTTTCTACTGATGAAACTAATTTTATTTGTACCTTTCCTTAGCCTCTTTTTAAAAAAATAGTTAATTCTTACTGAGTATGTCAGTAATTCATTTATTTGAACTGAGATAAAATTCGAAAAGAGCACCTGCTACCTAAGGTAGCACACATTTCTTTTATCATTAATTTATTCCAAGAAGATATCATAAGCAAGCCCATTTCAATGAATCATGTTGATATTTTAATTCCAGATTTAACCTATTGTGTTCCTTTTGTTGTAATTAATTTTTGAAGTGTAAATGAAAAACTTAATTTTAAAAAGTGAATGTCAGTTTGGAAATAAGAGTGCCCCATGAGCAATGTGGGAGAAAATATCAGGTATAATTCTCTTCCAGATGGCACCCCTACAGGTGAGGCAGCAGCCTGTGAAATTGCAGTCTGAATTGCACTGCAGATGAGTAGGGCATTTGGAGCAGTGCCTTCTGATATCAGTAATAAATGACTTGGTACAGAACCAAGGACAATTCTCAGGAAATTAAAGGCTAGTCTATCACATAAAAAGCCCATAGTAAAGTGAAGTTTAGCAAAAGTTGAGAGAAAGGACAGCTATTGGTAATACAAATATGAATCATTTCATTTGCTAATATTTTTAACTAGACATTAATGTATCTCATAAATGTCATCTATTTGTTTCTGTACATATTGTAGTTTATGCACTAATTTTTCTAAACTGATAATTTCCACAATGAATAGTGACTGAGACTGACCAGCATGTATTCCTGAAAAAAAAAAAATTATCCTATATTATGGATTATAATAAGGACCCTTCACTTAAAAATGTTACATAATTCTAGGCAGTTTAGTATTCTTAAATTTACTAAATTCATCCTTCATTCTTTAGTTCTTTGTTTCTCAGTTTATTAAATGTGATTTTAAAATTTTGATTTAGCCTTTACAAACATTTTAAAATAGCTTTAAATTTTTTTTGGTGAAGCTGACTTACTGTTCCAAACCCTTTTAACATGCATTAACATATTTAATCCTTTCAATAACCCTGTGAAGTAGACTGCCATTGTTATTGTCATTTTATAGATGAAATTTAGGCACAGTGCTGTTGACTTGCTTAAGATCACAGCAGGGAATAGGGCTACTCTGGGATTTAAATCCTTGTGTACATCCTCTTAATGACTATACTGTTGGTATTGACCACAGCCCACTAAAATGTGGTATAAGTTAATCTCTGATGAATGACCAAATGAGCATGTTGCTAGAAGGTACTACTTTCAATTATTGATCAAAAATACTTGTGGGTTTGTTCATAGTATTTGGAAATATGATGAAACTTCAGCATATGAAAGCAAAATAAAGACTTAGCTAACTGCATTAAGATACTATTATTGTAAATTTGAACATTGTGAAATCAAAACCAAACTTTTTTGCTCTATTTCCAAAAAAGAATGGATTATATTGAATAATTCATAATAAAATTGTAAATTTTATTGTTTTCATGTACAGCAATCTTTTAAATAGGGGCTCTCCTCTGCCCCCCAATCTATTAACTATCTATGCTTTAACAGCTGATCTTTTTCTCACAAGTTGATAGATGCCTCCTCATCTAGTAATTCCTTGGCATAAATTAATATTCATTTAAATCAAAGAATTTATGTTTATAAGCATTTGCATGAATTATGTCAAGACTGGTAAAAAAAAAATATTAATTCAGAAAGTTCCTTTAATGAACACAAAGATGATACTAATGGGAAAGTGACTTGAAAGAGGTAGACATATTACTGAAGTACTCTACCCAGACCAGTACTTTCCACCAAATCCTTATTTGTTCCCTGTGTAAACACATTAATAAATGAACTTTGTCACTAAGTCAACAATTATTTTCTTATCAATAAATTTGTGTGTCAGGGAAAGTAGGTAAATGCCAATGTAGATTTGAGAGTGACAGTTTAATTAGGTTCCTTTATAAGTAATTCAGGCATGAGAACTGTATTTTCTGTAATTTAAATTGGCTGGGCCTCTCCTGGTGGCACAGGCGGTTGAGTGCTGCGCTGTGAAGCTACCGGCAGCCTCTGCAGCGGTGGTTCGATCCCAGCCGGCCAGCGAGGGTCCCACATGGAGTGGCAGACCTCTCCTGTCACACCTGCTGCTCCCCTCAGCAGTGTATTTCTTCAGTCTGCCTGTTTTGTTCCCCGTTCTGTCTCTGGTGAATCCTCTCACCTTCCCACGCATCTGGCCTGTACCCCAGTTCTTGTATAAATAAATAAATAAATAAATAAATCTTAAAAAAATTAAATTGGCTGTTAATTTGTTGTCAAGATTAACATTCCAAGTTCCTAGGTATTTCTTACTGTAGATAAACCTTTGAAATATATTTTAGTTCATGTGGTTAAAAGAATATTCTGTTCATCCTATCAGATGGTTATTTGTATATAGAACAAATGGGTGAGAATAGTTTTGCTTTAGATTGTTAGTATTGGGGTAAAATTCATTTTGGTTCACTGACCCCTAAGCAGTCATAAGACATATAATGTGCTGAGCAGTTGATTAAAGTTACTGCTCAGAGATGTTGGGAGGTGAGTCTAGCAGGAGAAAGATCTCTCTTTGATCTCTTGCTTGTGACTTCATCTTTTCTATAGTGAACTGTGTAACATGCTAGAATGTACTGTGTGATATCAGTAGGGGCAAGTTCTCATTTCATTTGTTCTGTGATTATCTTTCCTTCATAGAGGATTTATTACTGTTCTTTAAAATCTGAGAGAACACTGGGATGGTGTTTCATGAACCATATTTCAAACAGCCTTAGCTGTGCAAGGTATTAATAGATGTTAAATGGAAGAAAAAAAAACGGCCTGTGGTTAAGTGGGTAATTCTTGCTTAAAATATGGTCAACAGTCCTCTTTACTGTAACACTTCTCAGAACTCTTAATGTACTAATGTGCATTGTGAATCCCTAAGAAGAGGATATAATCTCTGTTTCTCAAACTTCTGTAATTAAAGATTACCTCCATCTTTTTTTTTTTTTTAAACCAAAGAGAGACTCACTTTGAGAAACTGTGTCCTGGACTAGGGTTTCTCAGCCTTAGCCCTGTCATCTTTGGATCCAGACAGTTGTGCATTGTGGGGGGTCTGTCTTGTGCATTTTTGGATATTTATTAAAATCCCTTGCCACTACCTACTAGGTACCAGTGCATCCCTCCTTGCAACAATCAAAAATATCTCTAAATACTGTCAAATGTCTCCCTGGGGACAGAAGCTACAGATAGTCTTTTTTTTTTTTTTTTTTTTTTTTATAGAGGCATGTTTTTATTTATTTATTATTTGTTTGTTTGTTTTGTTTATACATGCACTGGGTACAGTCAGAAGCGTGGGAGGGTGAGAGAATTCACCAGAGCCAGAGCGGAGAGCAGAGCAGGCAGAAGGACCGAAGTACACACACTGCTGAGGGGAGCAGCGGGCGGCAGGAGAGGTCTGCGCGCCATGTGGGACCCTCCTCCGGTGGCCGGGGAGCAGCCGGGGATTGAACCGGCGCTGCAGAGGCTGCGGGCAGCTTCGCAACCCAGCGCTCAACCGCTGCGCCACCAGGGAGGCCTACAGATAGTCTTGACTTAACTGTGATTTAATGATATTTCAGCCATATGATAATGTGAAAGCAATACTCATTCAATAGAAACCATATTTCAAATTTTAAATTTTGATCTTTTACTGGGCTGGTGAACTATGCTATAATACTCTCTCAGTGCAGGACAGCAGCAGCTAACCACAGTTTCCAGTCACCCACACAATCACAAGTGCAAACAACTGATACTCTACAGTATATTGTGTTACCAGCATTTTTGGGGGTATTGTGGTTTGGGTGTCATACTCATCATTTCTATTTTTCACTTTAAGTATAATACTAAATAAATTAGGTGAGATAGTAAAGAATTTATTGTAAAATAGTTTGTGTTAGATCATTTTGCCCAGCTGCAGGCTAATAAAGGTATTCTGTTGTATTGCCATATTTAATGTAGGCTAGGCTAAGTATGGCATTCTGTAGCAGAGGTGTACTAAATTCATTTTCCACTTAAAATAATTTGAATTTAGGATGAGTTCATCAGGATGTAACCCTATTGTAAGTCAAGGAAGATTTGTAGTTGAGAATCACTGTTCTAGATAAATATTGTAATATTATGGGTATATTAATAATTTCTATCTAAAAATTTCATTTTTATATGGAACAGTCATCTAGAAAATGGGAGTACAGGTAAAAAAGGTTTAATCCATTTTACTGTAATAAACTTTCTGGTTCCATTTTATAGCCTGGCCTGATATTCTAATAAGTACTATGTGGGGAGCATACTACAAAAAAACATTGTGTATTAAAAGAATAGCTCAGGTATTTAAATTTATTTGCATATGAGGATATTGCTCATTTCTAAAGTCCACTTTTTCCCTTTCATGCAGGGCTATTTTCTTCTTTTTGAGTCCATGTTAGATTCTGTACTTTATGCAAAGAACAAATACTTGGCAAAAGGAGGATCAGGTGAGTATAAAATTCTAGTTTTAATCTAATTTTAGTCTGGCAGAACCACATGAACCTTTGGATTTCAAATAAACTATGCATGACCGAGAAAGTTCCCAATAGAGATGAAAAATGTTCCTATTAGATGAAGCTTTAAGACTTTCGTTTACTATACATTTGATGGTAGAACATTATATAAGATGTTCAGGACTCTTAAGTCAGTGGCATTTTTAAGAACACTTTTTATAAAAATACTAAAGATCAGATTTGGAAGCTATTTGAATTCAAATCAAAATTTAACAAAGACCTTTTGACTTTTAATATTTGGGACATTTAGTTCTTTTATTCGAGTAGAATATTTCATACTAGGTTGGAGATGGTTCGCTTTAGAGGAAAATTTTTATCACTAAATATGTAACCCTCGCTTCTCTGTGATTTAATTAGAAAGTTTAAATAATCATTGGTGTCTGCAAAGTTTTTAAAGCAAAACATACTCAATTTATATTTTTAAATGGATTCCAATAAATGTAGAAGACTTTTTTTTTCAGGTCCCTGGTGAACTATTGATCATATTAACTCTGCATGTTCAAGTGAGATTGTGTTTTTACAGTCCTGCTGTGAACAACTGTATACAAACAAAATGTTGTCTTTCAGTGCAGTGGTTATGACTCTTAGTTGAGCACCACAGCTCCTGGAACAGAAAAAACATTGTACATGTTTATTGAATTGAGTCATTAAAACTGAATTGCATAGCATCTGTCTCCCTTTACCACCTGTCCTGTACCTTCCCTTTCTTAAAGCTTCAGGATCAACATATGGTTTCCATGGTTAGAGTACAGTTGATAAAACTATTACATGAAGGTGGAGGAAAAGGATGAGACATTTTGAGCTAGTGACATAAAGCACCTGACCATATTTATGCCTTTTGCTCTGAAATTATTTTGGCAGTTATGGTACAGTAAAAAAATCAATAAGACAAAAATATAAGTCATCAAGAAAATTCTCCAGTACAAAAGAGTTCTGATAATTTAAATGGATTGACTTTCTTTTTTAAAATTTTCTTATTTTATCACCGTACTTTCTAAATCAGTATATAATCCTGATTTCTGATGAGAACCTGCTTAGAATTTTGAGATGCATTTTACCCAACAGCAATTGGCTGTATCTTCTATACTTGCAGTAGTTTTAAAAAAAAAAAAAAATGACTACTATGCTTAACAACTAAAAACTGTTATCTGCTTTTTGATTTTCAGCTAGCTGCCAAATAGTGAACTCTACCTTTATGTTATTACAAGTAATCCTCACAATAGCCTTTTGAGATTTTAGAACAAACCTCATAAAGATGTCCTGGGTAACATATTTTTTAACTCAGAGCTGCCAGACTCCAACATTCATGTTCTTTTTGTTCTTCTTGTTTCACTACTAAAGTACATTTTATTGAATCTAATTGTTGCCTTGAATTTATCCTAGGGAAAATTCAGAAAACTATTTCCATACCTTCTTGAATGGTATTCATTGATCTTACTGAAAGAGTGACATCTACTTAATACATTTAAATTGAATTCTCCATGAAATTCATTAAGAACTTGAGGCATGCGAATAATGAGGTTATAGTTGATGAAACAGTAGCAGAGCTATTTCCCATCATCAGAGAGATTAAGTGGGGACTTCTAAGTCTCTCCATATTTTATATAGTTGATATTCACAGCTAGAGGTGTATTGAGTGATATAAGCAGTGCTGTTGAATGTTGTAGCTTAATTGAATCAAGAGAAAAGAAAGAAAAGTCAGAATAACATGAAGTAGGTTAACCTATTTGTGTATTTGAGCATGCCTTAACAAATATCACCAATCATCTACCTACATATTCATTTTCCTATTGCAGGGCAAAATTTCCTTTTATGTTTTTCTGTAGGAAAGATTTACTAAGCAATTAGTAATAGAACAATTTTAGGAAGAATGCATGTATTGTGAGAGAAAGAATATTGAGGATTCACATATACATGAAGAAACCAAAATTTTTTTGTATATGTCTTACTATACATATGAGACACACACATATATATGTATGTCTCACTGTATATAATGGCATAGAGTAAAGGCTTTGTATATGTGTATGTCTTCATGGATATTTGAGGTTTTTGATAAAATGCAACTTACATTCTTGATATTTTTATAAAAGGAAAAAATTAGAATAGTTGAATGCCAGCTTATACGATAAATACAAAAAGCATTTCTCTAAAGTTGAAGCAAGATTTGGGTGGTCACTATTACATAGTTATTTAAAACATCAGAGGTACTAGTTAGTATAGTTAGAAAAGAGAAAGAATTTAGAAGGTAATTTTTATTTTTTTTTTGAAGATTTATTTTTATTTATTTATGCGTACAAGAACTGGCCAGAGGTGTGGGGGAAGAGAGGATTCACCAGGGACAGAGTGAGGAGCAGAACTGGCAGATCTACTGAAATACACTGTTAAGGGGAGCAGTGGGCAAGACAGGAGAGGTCTGTTGTGCCATAAGTGGGTTTGCTCCCTAGCTGGTGATTGAACTCATGCCACAATGGGTAGTGATAGCTTAATAGTGCTGAAACTTTAATCCCTCCACCACCAGAGAGGCCCAAAAGGTGAATTTTGAAGGTGCAATAGCAATAAAATGGTAAAAAATACTAGAAGGAAATATAGGTGTATTACTTGATAAACTTGCGGGGAGGGGACTTCCAAATTAGAACTTAAATTCAGAAGCTTTAAAAAAAAGGTTGATAAATTTGATTACATTTAATAAACTTCTAAATAGTAGAATTTGCCATAAAATGGTAAGAAAACATACAGACTAAAAAAAATTTCAATTCCTGCCTCCAAAAATAAGCTAATACCCCTAATATATAAATATATCGACAAATAAACCACAGACCCCACTGAAAATTCTCAAAGAAGTGAATGGCAACTCACAAAAGAATAAATGCAGATGACTCTTAAGTATATGTTCAATCTCTGTCATATTGCAAAAAATGTCCAATTTAAGAAATTTTTGCTTTACTCAAGGTCACATAGAAATTTCCTATGTTTTTCTTCTTGAAGTTTTTTTATCTTTTGCATTTAGGCCTATGATTCATTTTAGGTTAATTTTGGGGTATGAGTGTTACCTATTTCCTGATCTTGACATACTACCAGAATCCCTGGGGCTTTTGTTAGGAAATGTGGATGGTCAGGCCCTTGTTAGACCCCTTTGAACCAAGGACTAGGGGAAGAGTTCTGTTCTTAGTAATTTATTTTAAATGTATATCTCCCTTTGTATTAATCAGTGTTCTTGTTGGAAGAGAGAGAGTAGGAATTATTTAAAGGCTAGGGTAGGATAGAAAATCACTTTGAGAACTAGAAAACCAGGCTGGAAAGTTAACTAACTATCCAGGAATAATACTCAATATTACTTTATGGAACTGGTTTAGAAATGATGCCAGTACCCTAATACTGTCCACTAGCTGGCACAAATGACATTGCTGATCTCTCCAACAGTCGGCATTGCTGCCTTTGAAGTAGACAGAGCTTTAGGTACATATCATTAGTGGATCCCACGCCTTGTAAGATACTTAACTTAAAAGGGAGGAAGGAAAGGTAAGTTCTTTCATTTTCAACTTCAGTACAGGAAAGCAGGCCCTGCTTCATAACATAGCAGATTACATGAATAGTTCAGAAGGGGCAACAAAATAAAGTGGCAGATATAAACTACACACACACACACACACACACTATATATATATATATATATATATACACACACACACTCACAAACACATATACACACACTCTATAAGGTAGGTAGGTAGGTAGGTAGATAGAACTGTACCTTCCAAAGGTCTTTGATTTTGCATTTTCACCAGAAAACTTTAAGCATCATGGTAGCAACACCTGCCTTTTGTATACCGCTTGACTTTCACATAACTTATCTCAATGTAACCAGCCTCTAACACTGGTTCATAGTGCTTATAGGTTTCCTTCAGTATTTCCATAATGCATCTCTTACCTCCTAATTTTCAGATCTCCTTATTTCATTTTTATTATTTTAGTTTTGTTCTATGATATTGCAGAAGTATCACTTTATTTTCCTTTTCAGTATATAATTTTTCAGTGAATATTACAGCTACATTTTTGCTTAGCCAAATTTTAGTGGACCCAGTCACAATTTACAAGTTAATGATGGGCAGATATTCCGATTTCCAAATAAATGTTAATTTTTAAGACAGCCTTATAATATATAAGTTGGAAATTAAGTTTTGAGTGTATTCAACTTCAAAGTATCTGCTGATTTTAATGATTTTGGAGTACATTTCCCTTTATGCATATTAAGCATTTTCTCATTAATGGTTATTTTCACTAAAATCTCTACGTTTTTACATATATCGTGCAAAGAACAGTTTATTTGGATATATTTAGTATCTTATTTTGCTCTAAACCTTTTTACTCTCTGGTTATTTTCATACAAGCTAGGATGCTAGTGTTTACTAGCAATTGTTTGTTTATGAATCTCAGTATTTTCCATTAGTGTCCAAAAGTTTGTGAGGCAATTCTGAGGGATAAAGGATTTCCCATCTTTATTCACCATGTGAGCTGTTCTAGTGACAAATGAATTCGGGGCAGTGAATCGAGAAGGACACAGATGTCAAAGCCATGAATTTATAAATTGTCTGTTAAGAGGATGCTTTTGTCCAATCAGTGCTTTGTTAATTTCTCCTATAAGAAGAAATAATTATTCAATTATGCCTCTATCTGACAAAAATCAAATGACAAATGTGTCAGAATGTGAAGGTAAAAGGTTTTCCAGGATTCTGGAAGGTAGCCCAAAATTTTAGACAGCTGTGAGGTAGTTATATATACCCAAATTGACCTATAAGACTGATTACAAGTCCTTTATGAATATTCATAGGTCTTGCTAGCTGAAAGATAAAAAATAATTTCCTTTGTAAATTCTAAAAATGCAAAAATATGATTTTCTGTGTCGCTGTGAAACACAATTAGCCTAAAAAATATATATCAACAGTAAAAAAAGTAAAGTCATATTCCTCTTTAATTTGTTTTTTCTTACTACCAACATATTTTGAAAATGTTTTTAGTTTCAATATTATAGTTTTCATTTGTGAAAAAATTATCCCTATTTCTTAGTAGTATTCTTAATACATCATATTGCTGGACACAGAACTCAAGGTAGCCAACTTTTTCTTTAAACGACCAGATAGTAAATATTTAGCTTTGTAGGCCATGTGATCTCTGCAATAAGTAAACAATACTTGTAAGCAGGGTTCCAGGTAAACTTTACAGATACAGGCAATGAATGAAATTTGACCAAGGGAACATAATTTGCCAACCTTTTAGAAAGAGACTGATGATACTAAAATGTTTGACGAAAATTTTTAATATTTTTTTTTTTAAATAGAAGAGCTTTATGAAGTATGTTAAGTTTGTTAAGTATGCTGTGCATTGTACAACTCTGGAGGATGTTTGTTTCCTATCAACTATATTATGAATGGTACTCCCTAAAGTGGTACACTGGGGTGGCCCTGGTAATCACCCCCACATCTGTTTCTCTCTTGTCTGTATCAGGCCTGCTGTCTGTTTCTGTTGACAGTGTTTTGTTGGGACATACTCAGCCTCTTTATTTAAATACTGTCTCTTATTACTTTCACATTATAGCGATGGAGATGAATAGTTTCAAAGAAGACCACATGGCCTACAAAATCTAAAGTTGTTGCTTTATGAAAATTTTTGCTGACTCCCAATCTATAGAACTTAGTATGTTCCTCTTTAAGGATAAAATTACAGCGCATAATGTGGGAAAGCATCTGTGATTATTAAGTACCACAAAGGATATATCAAGAAGTTAGGCAAATATCTAAAGTCATTAGGAATTCTTTCTTCGGGCCTCCTCAGTGGTGCAATCTCTGCGGTATGGGTTCGATTCCCAGCCAGCCAGGGAGAGACCCACAGAGTGCAGCAGACCTCTCCTGTCTCGCCCACTGCTCCCCTCAGCAGTGCTTTCATCCGTCTGCCTGTTCTGCTCCCCACTCTGTCTCTGGTGAATCCTCTCACCCTCCCTCGCCTCTGGCCTGTACCCCAGCTCTTGTATAAATAAAATAAATCTTTTTTAAGAAGAAGAATTCTTCATGTTTTCTCATCTTAATCTGAGGAAACTGAACAACTTTCCTGTAGCTAATACATGTCAGTTTCCATAGCAGATCAGTTACTTTGAAGAATTGTTACCTGTCAGAAATTTAAATGCAATCAAGACCATTACCATATCTGTGAGGAAGAGAGAATAGAAGTAACAGTTTACCTGGCACTAGATGCTAGTCCCAGTGCAGTTATCACATCTACCTCACATGCCCCCTTAGGGAAGATTTAAAAATATTTTATCAGTGAGATATAACACCAGGTATTTTGTCTGGGTATCTCACATGTCAGGTTTGGAAGAAGCAATTGCTTTAATGCCAACAGGTCTTATCATGGGCTTTATTTGGAAGATAATTTAGTGCTGCTGTCATTGAATAATAAAATTCCTAAGGCTATGGATAGAAACAAAGTTTGGGGGGAATGTTATTTCTCTACTGTTCTAAATCTGAAGGCTCGTTAGTAATCATGAAGTTGTTTCTTTTGTGCATTTCTTTAAAAAAATTTATTTTTAAAATATTTATTGAAGTAATGTTAATTTACAGCACTGTGTATATTTTAGGTGTATAGGGTCATACCTTTACAGGTGTCTGCTTCCACCCCTCCAACCTCCCTTTTTTGAATTTTTCCTTGGTTCATGTGAACTAGATTTCAGTTTGTTGATATAAAAAACTGGTTTATGTTTTAATTCATGCTTGAATCCCCTAAATGTTGGTATTTGAAGGACAAAGTCAATTTTGCTATTTATTAGTCAAAAAAGAATCAGTATTTAAAAAAAAAAATTGTTACAAAGTCTTTTGTTGGTTATTAGGAGAGTTTCTTTCTGAATCATTCTCTAGCTTCCTTACTGCTTATTTTTAGTTTTACATCTTCTGTGACCCTAGCTTCTCAGCTATTTCTTCATTTTCTTTCCTTACGAATACATTCAAATTCTGTTATCATTTACTACTACTACTACGTGGCCTCATTACTTACCATTACAGCCATTAACTTACCTTTCCATTTATTTGCCCATAACCCCAAATGTATATTTTTAAACTAGGGCTGTTTAAAGCATGAATTTCAAGCCTATATATTCAGCAGCTTATTGGATATTTTCACCCATTTGTCTCATAAACTCTCCAATTCTTATTGAATTTACCCTTATTTATTCCCCATTATAATGGTTAGTACCACAATCTACACAGTTGCTAAAACTAAAAACTGTCATCCTGACTCTTTCTTCTTCCTAGTTGCCACAAGCAGCCAATCTCAAAAATGCTATGAATTCTACCTCCTAAATATCCCTTGAATATATCTTCATCTTTCCCTTCACATAACCTTCTCTCTACTTCAGAACACCTGATGAGTACAACTATCCCTTATTTTGTCTCTGTTTTTAGACTCACACTCCTATTATTCCACATACTGTATTCCAGATAGCTTTTTGAAAAACCAAGATCTTATCATGTTGCTACCCTATATAAAAGTTTTTCACTGGCTGTAACATTATTCTTGGAATAAAATCCAGTTAATTAATGAAATTTACTGAGCCATGTTCACATTGGCCCCTACTCACCTTTCTAGCTTTATATCTCATTATTTTCTGCCTAATTGAAGTGTATGTTAATTGTGACTGCTTGCTCTGCTGAGAACATACCTTCTCATTCCTAACTTACTTGGGCTTTGGCTCTTCCTTAACAACCCTGCTCGAGACAATTCTGAATTTACTATTTTTGCTGAGAACTCTCTTGGTAAGTTGTACTTCCCAATTCTTAGTTTTTGTTACTGCACAAATAATTGCCCATTTATTTGTCTAAATTGTCTCAACATTGACTTCTTGAGAGTAGGGACCATTTATCCAAAGTCTATAAATTAGAAAAATTTGTCTGATGCATACTTGATGCTCATAAATATTTCCTTGTATAAAGAACAAGAGAAAGTAATATGAACTGGTCTGCACAACTAAAATTCTATGACACGACTTTTTTTTTACATGTTGCATATCTTTTTTAAATTTATTTTATTTTATATAATTCTTACATCATTTTTCATTTTTGCACAATGTGTGCATTTTCACTTTGGTTATATTCCCCATACAATTGCACCCCCCCCTTTATTTTAACCGTACTCCTTCCTCTCCCCTTCCCTCCCCCCACTCCGTGATGTGTCTCTGGTTTATAGTTGCTTGTTGATTTTGACTTTTACTTTGTATTAATTAATCTTTTTCCTGGTCCCTTATTTAGGTTTTCTAAATTCCTGCTATGAGTGAGACCATCCGGTATTTTTCTTTTTCTTTCTGGCTTATTTCACTGAGCATGATCCCTTCCAGCTCCATCCATGTTGCTGCAAACTGCAAATGTTTACCTTTTTTGATTGCTGAGTAATATTCCATTGTGTATATGTACCACATCTTCTTGATCCAGTCATCTATTTTTGGGCATTTGGGTTGTTTCCATAGCTTAGGTATCGTAAATAGTGCTGCTATAAACATGGGGGTGCAGGTGCCCTTTGGAATTAATGTTTCTGTGTCCTTTGGGTAAATACCTAGGAGTGGAATTGCTGGATCTTATGGAAGCTCCATGTTTAGTAGGTCCAGAAATCTCCACACAGCTCTCCATAGTGGTTGGACCAGTTTGCACTCCCACCAGCAATGCAGAAGAGTTCCTTTTTCTCCACACCCTCGCCAACATTTGTTGTTGCTAGTTTTTTTAATATGTGCCATTGTCACTAATGTCAGATGGTATTTCATTGTAGTTTTGATTTGCATTTCCCTGGTTACAAGTGATGTTGAACATTTTTTCATATGCCTGTTGGCCATTTGCATTTCCTCTTTGGAGAAGTTTCTTTTTAGCTCTTCTGCCCATTTTTGGACTGAATTATTTTCTTTGTTTTTGATGAGACTCATCAGCTCTTTGTAGATTTTTGTGATCAGTCCTTTATCATTAGTGTTGTGTGCAAAAATTTTCTTCCAGTCGGTGGGGTTTCTCTTTGTTTTGGTTATTGTCTCTTTTGCTGTGCAGAAGCTCTGTAATTTGATGTAGTCCCAGCTCTTTATCTTTGCCTTCACTATCACTGCTTTGGGTGATGTGTCTATAAAGATGTCTTTGAGGTACATGTCATGTAGTGTTTCACCTATATTTCCTTCTATGTATTTTATGTTTTCAGGTTTTATGTCTAGTTCTTTAATCCATTTTGAGTTGGTTTTTGTGCATGGTATGAGGTAGTGGTCAAGCTTCATTCTTTTGCATGTAGCGACCCAGTTTTCCCAGCACCATTTATTGAACAAACTTTCTTTGCTCCAATGCATAGTCTTTGCTCCTTTGTCAAAAATTAGGTGACCATAAATCTGTGGGTTTATTTCTGGATTTTCTATTTGGTTCCATTGGTCCATGTGTCTGTTCTTGTTCCAGTACCATATATGTTGCATATCTTTTAAATGATTTGTCTACACATTTCAGAGGAATGTATAAAGATCTTATACCTTTTTAGTGTCAGCATAAGTTTTAATGTTAATGAGTGTATTTATCTCTTGTTTATTTATTATTGTTCATCTCATCTGTTTTATTTTTACAAGAACCCATCATTGAAACTCTTATTTTAATCTTAACATCACAATAATTAATATCTTTTCTCAAAAGAGACTACGAGGTGAAACTTGGTTATTTTCCCTCATCTGTATCTTCATTAGTTTCCTACTGCTAGTAGTCCATAGTAATGAATTTGGTATTTATACTTTAAATGTTATATTTTGTCATAAACAGAAATAATACTAAGTTGTTGGGTGTTTTTATTTGTTACAGTTTATCCTGACCTTTGTGCTATCAACCTTGTGGCAGTAAGTGATGTGAATAAACATGCTGATAGAATTGCTTTTTGGGATGATGTCTATGGCTTCAATATGTCCTGTATGAAGAAAGCAGTTATTCCAGAAGCTGTTGTGGAAATTTTGGATCCGAAGACACTTATTTCAGATCCTAGTAGTATTAAGGTAGGTATTTTACTGATTTCATTTTTAACAGTATTTCCAGTTTTCCTAGTTTTCATTTATGAGTTCAGTATTTGAAATTAGTACATTGATTTCATAAGCTGATCTTCAAGACAGAAGCAACATGAGATCATGATATTTGCCAGTTGACTATATCATCTTGGAGTCACACCTCTTTATATGGGGAGAGAGTAGGTCCTTATAATGAATTGGAAGGTTTAAATCATTTACTTGGGCTTAATGAAAGCAAAAAATCCTGCTATATTGTCATTCTGCTTCATCACCACTTCTTCGCTGTATTCTAACTTCTCATTTACAGCCACATTATGCTTTCCTATCATATATTCCACACAATTTATTTTCTTTCATTCAGGTTTCTTCTAAACTTTTCATATGAAATAATTATACTGAATTTGCATATGAAACTAAGGTCCTACTCTGCTCAGATATCTCTGTGCCTTTTGTGTGTACTATGTTAATCTCTAGTTTTATTGTGAATTATTCAGGAAGGGTCTAATTTACATGGATTGAGTAATAACTTTGATGAAAAGTGATACTGCTTTTCTTAAAAACTCCTTAATTTGTCTGTTTCAATTAGATAATCAAACAAATTCAGCTTGTTCAACATTAGGTTTAGAATATTGTCTCCTCTATTTAGTGACACTATTACTATAGCATTAATAATTATTCACTGAACAAAGGAGACATTCAGTAAATGTTTATTAATTTTCTTAAATGGATAGTCTTTACAATTAGCATAGAATAATAAATATGCAAAGTACCTTGACTAGAGCAAGCTGATTAAAATTGCATTCTGCTGTTAAGGAAAAAAAAATACAGACTGCTTAAAGATTACAAGACTGTTTGTTGTTCTGGTACACTGATAGTAAGGGATTTTATTGGGATTCTTTGGCTCAGACTAGGCGTGTACCATGTTAGCCAACTCAACTTAAGGCTGAACAGAAGGAACAGGGCTGGGGTGCAGAAACAGTTTCTCTCTCTAGTGATCTCTTTGCTTAATGTAAAAACTTCTGTGAATATCTAATGTAAAAACTTCTGTGAATATCTAATTAGAACTGAAAAATGAACATATTTAATAAGTTTATAATACCCTTTCTTCTTTTTTTACACTAATCATTTGTTTAGTAAATTTATAATTTGTTCTGTATTCCAGTCTTCCTAAAAATAAAAGACAATCACTTTGTAACTTCTTTTAAATTTTCTCATTTAAAAGAGTAATACCTCTAGTATATAGTCAGAAGAATTGTATTCCCTGGATTATATACTATTCATGGCAACTCAACTTTTGACAGCCTTTAGAACATATTTATGATCAGAATATGTTTACCTTAATGAAATGGAGAAAGATTTGACCCAGAGAAGAATAAGAAATAGAATATTTGAGTACATTTTTCCTGAGTTGAATCTTCATATTTGGTTTTTCTCTTTGATTGAAACTATTGTGCTTTTCCCTAATGTCTAACAGACTTACCTTCAAAAGCAGTTATAAAAATAAATTTTGAAGCAACTTGTCTTTTTCACTAGTATGTTTTCAAGTTGTCATTTCTAATAAAAAATATTGACTTATCATTACACATAATTTATAGCTAATGTGTAATTGGTGTTGTATGGAAAATAATGTTAGTTAGAACACATGAAGGCATTTTTTTATTTTAAAAGTATTTTGGTGTGAAGAAAAGCTTTAGGAGATATGAACTGTGATTTGATTGATATATAAGATACCTTACAAGAAGTCTAAGTAAAAAATACTTCATTTAAAGAAAAATTAACAAAATGATCGTACCCCTAAATTTGGAAAGGATCCCAAATGTGCGATATGAATAAGCTTTGCAATTCATTGGTTTGCAAAATCCTTTTTGCATAAAGAAGCACAATTTTTTTGTTCTTTTTACTGTTTTTACAAAATTCTTCCCCCCACTTTTTTTTTTTGATGGGCAGCATATAGATTGCCATGCAACATCTATCTCAGATTTGGAATTTTCTTCAGATTTTACCCTGAAAATCACAAAGACATCCTTGTGCACGGTAAGCTATTTCATTCTACTTTGACAAATTTCTCTAGTAGTACATTTGATTGGCAGTCTAATGAATTAATTATCAGACTTGTGATAAATGAAAAAGACTATTGCCTTTGACAGTCTATCTTTGCCTTTGTTAAGTTATTGAACAGATCTGTTTTAATAGGTCTGTAGACTTCAAAAAGTTAGTTTAATTCAAAAGAGAAAAATTAGGAAACCATGTTTACATAATGAGTTTTCTTTATTGATTCTTCATTATTACCTATTATATAATTAATAGAGACCACTCAACTTTATCTTCAAAGACAAAGTTCATGCCTTATTCCTCCTAGTAACTCTTCACATTCAATTTCGGTGGAATAAGATGTGTTTATTTAATGTAATTTTTTATATTCATGTGTGAAAAATCATAAACTAGTGCTCTACCTTTCTTACAGAACTAATCTGATATAATAGAAGAAGTATGGGCTTTAGAAAAGTTAGGCAAATCCAAATTCATCTTTGGTTCTGCCACTCACTGCTTTTGTTACTATATTCATTACCTCGGTATTTTCAGATTAACTGCTTTAAGAAAAATGGTGATAATTCTGTCAATTTAGTTGTACAGAGTAATGAGATAATATATGTGAAAGCACCTACATTGGAGCCAGAAATATTGTTATTAAGATATAGTTATTCTTAAATAATTTCAAAATGTATATTAGTACTAACAAAACAGTATTTACCTTTACCGAGACTTAAATATTAATAAAATATATGGGCCTTTATTAAAAATAAGGATGGGTTTATATTGGTGGTAGTAGTACAAATATTTATATTAACTAAACTAAGTATATAAGTTTGATTACTAATTATATCTTCAGAAAATAAATTTTTATTGAAATTATGGATCAGATTTATAATCATATTAACTTTGATTCTTCAACTTGATTCTTATTTATACACTCAGATTGATATACAAAAAGTTTTATGGTTTCTTTAAAATTGTTTCAGTTTACTTTGATACAATAATTATTATTTTACATCCAAAGAGTTTAACAATGTGCTTTGATTTTGAAGAATTCTTTTTAAGGGCTTCTGTTATATTTTGTCTAAGTTCCATCTTCATTGTCTTACGTGTTACTTCTATTGTTTTTTGTTTGAGCATTCTACTGAGATTGGTATATGATAGACTACTTTTGTGACCTCAGTTTGAACTGTATTCACTATTAATCAAAACTTAAAATCTTTAGATTTTTATTAACAGTTTAATAAACAAATATTAAAACTATCTGCTAGATACTTTTCTAAAATCTCTGGGCACAAAGAAAAAATACAAGTAAAACCTATTCTATGACCTGAAAAGATGCTTACCCGAGAAGTGGCAGGTGCTGAGAACATTTGAGTGTGAATGTAAAAATATAAAAATACACAAAGGGTGTTCTGGCCCTGGGAACACAGAAGTTTTTCTGAAATAAACAAACAAACAAATAAATAAATAAACCTTAGCTTATCTGTTTAGAATTTTTTAAGTTAGGAAAAGTAAGTGAAAGTAAACAAAAGTTGTCAGTGAGCTAAATATAAATTGTGTGTTAACCGCAGCTCAGTTCTTTCCTTCTTTTTTAAAAGAGATATTTGCTAAATGGAAGATATATTTAAGAGGGCCTGATGTTTAGTTTTGGATGAGTTGAAATAAGGCTGAGTTAGAATTTTTAAAAATTAATTTAAATGTATTTAAAAGAAACTTTAAAATGTTTACAACTCAAACTTTAGTAATTCCTTGCTCTTAGCATTCTTTGTTTTCATTTTATTTTTCAACTAAGCTTTAAATTTTTCTAATAGTTTAAGAAAAAAGCATCAAGATAAACCCATTTCATTGCAATTGTGTTCTTTAAATCTTCTTTCCAGGCTTTTGAAAAGTCTTTGACAATAGAACCAACTAATGCCATACTCATTCCTGAGTATTAAATCAGCTCTTAGTACTTTGGGGTGTAAATTGACCTAATTTTGACCTTGCAAAGCTAATCAGCTAAAGAAACTAATTATTAAAACACATCTGTGCTGCTTAGAAATAGTAAGATTTGTCTTGAACTTGCATCATAGATTTTAGTGGGACATCTGGTATATATTTTAATTGACTTCATTAAGTAAATTTTATGTGTTAGAACGGGAGTATTTCGAATTATGTGATTCCACCTCTATAGTCAGTTTCAGAGTTCTCTTTGTGTGAATGATCATATGATCTACAGGATGGTCCTGAACTTTCTGTTCTTCCCTAAACCTCAACCCTTCTGTGTAGGCTTAGGTGGCATGGGAATGCTTAAATCTCTTTAATTGGTCTCAAGAGCTTTTTTTTGAGTAGTAATATGTGCTGAGAACTGTGGGGCATTAGGGATATAGCAACAAGCCAAAACATATAGTTCTTCTCTTCAGTAGGCATATTAAAATGCACATTATAGGAAAAAGATGAAATTTGCCATGAGCAACAGCGTGGATGGACCATGAGGGGATTATGCTAAGTGAAGTCAAAAGGACAGAGACAAATACCGTATGATTTCACTCACTCATGGGATATAAAGAAGAAAGGCAAGCAAACAAAAGAAAAATAAGCCCATAGACTCTGACAACAGAATAATAGTTACCAGAGGGAGGAAGAAGGGAGAGAATGAGTGAAAGGGCAGATTGTTTGGGGGTAGGTGGGGTGACTTGGCATTTAGTAATGAGTGTGGAGAGTGAGAAATTGTACTCCTGAAATCTATACAGTAAATTAATTTTACCTCAATAAAAAATCATGAATAATATTAGACTGGGAATCAGAACAACTAGATTCTAGTCCTACCTTTGCCACTGGCCAACATTATGAAAATTGTTTTCTTTTTCTGGGTCTTAGTTTCCTAAATGTGAAACAAGGAACCTACACTTAGCTGAATAATCTTTATTATTCATTCTGATCTAACATGCTATAAATACAAATGTTTATCAGTTAAACATAAATAAAATTCACCTTATGGGTATTTGATACTATCAAAGAATTGAGAATTTGGCTACATGAGATAATGGCATTGTAGTTAGATAAGAAAATGTCCATATTTTTCAGATAATGTAAACTGAAGGCAAATATTCATAAGTAATAGACCGGGTAAATAAATGTGTATGTTTATGGAGTACTATACATCTATAAAAAAGATCGCCTTGATTATACCTTAGGACCTGGATAAATTCCAGCAATAGAATGCATGTGAAAAAAGGATGTTGATAAACATCAAAATAGTGGTTACTATTTTGTAAGGGGACTTAGTCTTTGGAAGAGGACATGATCAAAACTCCAGAATCTTAGGAGTGGTTCTTACTTTGATCTGGGTAGTAGTTTAGTGTGTTCATGTTGTAAAAGCTCACTGAGCTCTATCCCAGTGACTTTTATGTGTGTGTTGTACATAGTATACTTGTATACTTCACTTAAACAATGTTTTTAAAGATTTATTTATTTATACATACAAGAGTTGGGGTACAGGCCAGAGATGCGGGAAGGTGAGAGGATTCATCAGAGACAGAGTGGGGAACAGAACAGGCAGACTGACCGAAATACACTGCTGAGGGGAGCAGCGGGGCGAGACAGGAGAGGTCTGCTGCACCATGTGGGTTGCTCCCTGGCCGGCCGGGGATCGCACTCATGCTGCAGAGAATGCGGCTTGCTTCATAGTGTGGTGCTTAACCCCTTGCACCACTGGGGAGACCCCGAAAGTATATATACTTGATTTTTTAAAACTATTATTTTTTATTGAGGTAATTTTGGTTTACAACACTGCATGATTTAGGGTATAGGTTCACACCTCTTTAGATGTATATTATCACACCAACTCCACCACCCAGGTACTCATAATCTTTTCTCTTTTCCTCTGATAGCCTCAGTTCTGTAGTCAGATTTCTAGGGTTTGTTTTGGATTTTGCATGTCTGTACCTTTGTTTTGTCTCTTCGTATTCTACATATGAGTTAAATCATATGGTATTTTTCTTTCTCCTTCTGATTTATCTTGCTAGCATAATTCCTTCTTGTTCCATCCCTGCTGAATTTTTTTTTATAGCTTAGTAGTATTCTGGTGTGTGTGTGTGTGTGTACACATACATACATACATACATGCATACATACATACACACACCAGCAATATCTTTTTTTTTCCCCCAGCCATATCTTTTTAATCCACTCATATGTCATTGTGAATTTAGGTTGTTTCCATCACTTGGCTATTGTAAATAGTGCTGCAGTGAACATAGGAGTGCATAGATCCCTTTGAATTAGTGTTTTTGAATTCTTCAGGTATATACCTAGGAGTGGAATTGCTATATCTAATGGTGGATCTGTGTAAAGTATGTATCTTTAATACAACATGGCATTGTGTTACAAACCTTCTACTACATCTAGAACACATCCAAAGAAATGTTGATTTGTGCCGTTGCCAAAAAAATATGATTATTGATCTTATTGAGGTATGATTTTCATGTTGTTTCCAATATGACCTTATCACAGGATTTTATAGAGTAATTTTGATTATCTGAGATTTTCCCATTACGTGGTCTTTCTTTTATCTAATACATAAATGCTTCATCTCGTATTCAGAGGAGTTCTGTTAAGTGTTGGCATCTTTAAAATTCAATTAAAGTCCAAGTGCACCTTATGCATCGTTTACAAAATTTTGAACACTTCCGCTTGATCGCCTTTTACCATTCATTTTTCCCCAACCATAGAGAGTTTAGTCTTCTAAACTGGATGCCAGAGGATTTTGACCTTCTTAAAATCTGGATTTCTTCAACCTACCTTGCTTACATAGTTACCTTCCTACTTTTTTATACTTGCCATTGAACCATACCTTTAAGAAATTTTTGATATTTAAAAAAAATATTAACTTTGTGATATATGTCCATTGAATAGGATAGTGAGAGGAATCACTGCAGTATTATACCATTATTAAACCTGAGAATGTCAAAGACCACAGTATGAGAAACCTGAAGTTGAGTAAAATAACTTTTAGA